ACCTTTCCTTTCTTAAGTTACTTCCTTTTCCATTCTTAGTAAGAAGGTTAAAAATTCGAAAGGCGGTGTTGGTTAACTTTTTGTGAAAAAACAAGAGGACTTTTAAATGGTCTATATAACTCCAAAAAAGAAGTAAAAAAGGGAGGAGTCCTTGGGCCTCGAACCGAAACGCCACAACAGCCCTTTGTCGTTTTCCTCGACTAGGAACAATGGGGTCCAGGTTTAGGGTCTTGGACTTTTTTGCTCAAACCATGTTGTTTGTCCTTTCCATCCGTTGTCACTTGGTTGTTGTTACACTTTTAGTTAAATATTGCCCGTGGACCCGGTCCGGGTTTTTTTGTACAGGACTTTTTGTTGGACAAAAGGTTGGACGGATTTGTCCACAACAACCATTGACAACAATTAGAAGTGTTATTTGTTTTATTCCAAACTACCTACAAGTAAAACAGTTTTTCTCAATTGTTTGCAACGGAAAAAAGTTCACCAAAGTAAACTGATACAAAAGTTTTAAAAGAGAAAGTACCGGAATTTCAACTGAAAAAACAACGTTGGATAAATCTTCGTAATAAAAAAATGTTATTGCAAAAGACATTAGAATTGTGGAAACAGTGCAACTATCCCCTAAGTCCTCCTTGACCACCCAATTTGTTGTTCACAAATTTAAGGGGGTCTTTAAAAAATCCCATGTTTGTAAAAACTTTAACTTCTAGTTTTGATACAATAGACAAAAAAAATTAAGGTCCGTTTTATTGGAAATAAGTAAACTTTCTTTTAGTCAAAGAATTAAAAAGAGGGAAGATTTAAGTGGAGGACGAAAAACCCGTGGTCCAGTTTCGAAGTTATCTGAGAAAGGCAGTCATACACTAAAGGCGTGTGTTGGGAGGTTGTAGACGGACGGGCTGCGGAACCTCAAACCAGGAAACGAACAAGAGCGACAAGGGTTATGCTTCGTTCTTACTTTGCTGTTGGGTTCTCCCACTGCACCTTTTACTTTAATTACTTTTATAACTTATTTATAATCGTCAAAATGATTGTGTAGTCTTTTTCTATCCTTCCGCGTCGTAATTGTAAAATAAAATCCAAACCACAAGGGACTTTGTTGAAGGACAACCAGAGCCCTTACTCCCGTTAAGTGAACTTGTTTGTCATTTTAGCGTCCGCTTTTTTTTGTTTTTCTTTACTTCAACTTTAATGGAAATGGTTTACCTAAAGTTTCTCGCTCTGTTCGACGAACATTTAGTTACATGCCCAAGGTAAATTATTACTCGTTGGGCAAAGTGCATTGTACCAATTATCAAATTAATTAACAAAAAATTTGACATTCGAATTCAAATTTACTGGTCACCCTTTCAAGTGGGTTGTTTTCTCATTACTTTAAAACCAAAATAAACTCTCAAAATGTTTGTCTCCAAACGTTTTACCGGTTGCTTTTCGGGAAAACAAATGTGGAGAAGGTAAAACACACGCAGGTCCAAGGACGACCCGGGAACTGTCCGGAAGACAAACGGGAAGGTCGACGTCGTGCCAAACGGAGTCCAAAAAGTGGTTATCGTTTCCTTCGTAAATGATTTCTTTGCCGTTAATCTTGTTTTGGGGTACGGGTTCTTGTTTGCGGTTCTATTTTTCTCCTACCTCTTTGAGCAGTTGACTGGTGTTCAGACCGGGTTTCTAACTCCCCTCTCTGTCTTCGTTTCTTCTTTCGAAGCTGCTAATAGCGGTCCTTTTGACAAAAAAGTTGTCTCGTTCGTAGTCCCCGCGTTGTAACACCCTTGGTGACCTTTGGAAACTTTTCTTGAAAAAACAACAAAATAACGACCGTTTGAATTAAATAATATAAAACAAAGTAAGTTTAAATTTTTTATTGCTGTTTCCAAAATTTCAGCATCAAATTTCTTCGGCACTGTGCCCAAAGTTGGTAGTAGGGGTTTTGGGTAGTTAAAAACTTCAATTTATAAACAGGGGGAACTTTTTTGCAAAATACTTGACTAAAAACCTATAAACAAATGAAACTTTATTGGGTAATTAGAACGGGAGGTTACAAACTGGTATTAAAGACCTAAAGAGCCCATAAAGAAAGTTTAGGGCGAAAATGATTAATATATATATATATATATATATTACATTTTTTACCAATGTTGTTCAGCTGCCTGATTATGGAAGAGACATGATTATGGCAAAACTTCACTTCACTTAACTTAACTTAAATAATCACTATTATGGGTCCATAAAACATTTATTCAGCACTTTTGAATGCATACAGCACATTAATTCCAAGTCAAGTGCATTTTCTTTTCTCTGTAGGATAACTACAACAAAGTGCATTCAGAACAAAGCCACGGTGCTTTAAAATAAACATCTAGGCCAGTAGGCCTACAACAAAATAGAGTAAATAAAGACTGTAACAGCCATGCCTTCAACAACAACAAATGCACCTATAAATTTGGTAACCTAACGTGTTGTTGTGATGACGTAATCAAAACGCGGCGACAAGCACAGCGCGCGACCATGCTCGCGGCTGGCTCACAGCCAACATATCTGCCGCTTGGAGATATTTNCCTCTTTCTCTGATATTTTTAAATATCTCCAAGCGGCAGACATGTTGGCTGTGAGCCAGCCGCGAGCATGGTCGCGTGCCGTGCTTGTCGCCGCGTTTTGATTACGTCATCACAACAACACGTTAGCTTACCAACGTAACCCTGTTCTCTGACATTCGGTGATATTTTTTCGGTGCTAGAACCCTTTCGGCCGAAAGGGCCTTTTTAACCATTTTCGGCCGATCATTTTCGGCGGCCGAATATTCGGTGCATCCCTAATAATAATGTAATCATAGAAAATAGTCATTCTTGCAGCCCGATATCCCCAAAGTGTTATGAGGCATTTTTCTGTATTTGCTCGTTCTTGCATCATTGGAACATTTAGATTAATAACCTACTTAATAGTATACCCACAACTCACTTTATATTGTGACCTCTAAGGCTTTAAGTAATCTCATCATATATGTAATTCTTAAGTATACGCCCATAAATGTGTATATTATTGACTTACTATACAGGAAAATGTCCCTCTTGTGTGACTTTTTTTATTATTTATTATTATTTATTATTATTTTAATTTGTTGCCTAACAGCCTACTCGAGCTGTAATGATTTGAATTAATATAAACCGTTTGGCAACAAATATATAATGATATATTTCTGATTATTGTTCAAGCAGAGACAGTGATGTCAATCCCGCTGAAATGATTTTCTTTATTGTGTATTACTCTAAACTAAAATATTTGAATTTTGTTCAGCAAGACACATGAAGAAGATGTGATGGCCATTTATTGCTGTTTCACAACCATATAAATATTTTTAAAAATAATGTGTTTGGAGTGTCCTAAAAGCTTGTTCCTGGACTTCTAGTTAATCCAATGTTTTCAAGCTCCAATCTGTGCAAGAGCCATGGTGCCCATCCTGCTAGCTGGAGCTTAACTGCGCGTAGTTAATCAGTTGCTCGACGTATGCCAGCACTGCACTATTTAGCTGTAGTCTAGGTTTAAATGTATAGTTGCAATTGTGTATTTTTCATTGAAGTCTAAGGACTTGCATTTACATGTTTCTATGCCCACAGATGTCCAACATAACAGTCACTTATCGTGATGGCCGGGTGGCACAGTTGGAGCAAGTCTACATCCGTGGCAGCAAGATCCGCTTCCTGATCTTACCTGACATGTTAAAAAATGCCCCCATGCTAAAGAGCATGAAAAACAAGAACCAGGGATCCGGTGCAGGAAGGGGAAAGGCAGCTATTCTCAAAGCACAAGGTGAGGAAAAGTTCTTGTACCAGTACCCCCCCGACCTTTTCCAAGAATACTGGGTTTTTAGCTTACCTCATACTCGTGTCTCTTTTACAAATTTCAACAGTTTACACATTTAACCCCTTTTTTTTATGCTGCAGAACTGAATCCCTTATGTTTAAGGTCAATGTACTTGTAGATATGTATTTTATGTTGTACCGATTTGTATTAACAACTCTTGATGGGTCCACTGAGACAGCATTTTAATACAGAGATAATTAAATGCATTTTACAGTACATGAGTATATTATCCACCTCTTGCATATTTGGATTTATTCATAGATTATCTGTGCTAAATGAGTAAACCAGAGCGGTTTGTATTTGTCAGTTGTGTGTAATGTGTATTCTCTTTTTTTGCAGTGGCTGCAAGGGGCCGGGGACGTGGTGGAATGGGAAGAGGAAACATCTTCCAGAAGAGGCGATAACTGCTCCAGCTGTGTTAACATTGTTGCATTGTATAGTCTTTTGTTGTTTCAGTTTGTCTTCTTTTGATTGGAAATGTTTGGATTTTTTTTTTAGCAATCCTGTAATTTGCAGTTCATGCTTTTATGTTCATTTTTTTTGTTAATGAAAATAAACATTTTTCAATTTGATCATTCTTGTCCTCTGGTTTACTCAACTACTAATTCCATGCCAACCACTTCAAAACATTTTTTACCCACACTTTGTATGGTAGATTTACTTGGTTCCAAATGAATAGTTTTCAGCATCACTTCTGCCCCAGTTGGATTTTGCCTTATATTTGAATGCCTAAAGAAATTGAATATTGATAGTGGCAATATGCACCAGTTGCACCCTGCATATCCTGAATGCAAAATTGAAAACATGTGAATGTTGCTTAAGCTAATCCTTTTTTGCACAGGTTTGCTGGTGAAACTGCACATCTGTCCGACTGACTCTGAACATGAAGGAAACGTTATCACATGAACTGAGCCTAAATGCACCTTAGACACAATTATAGGCTATTGAAGAATCTACTGGTACTAGCTTGCTCAGTGTTTATGTATCTATATTTATTTCGATGTAAAAAATACTACAAAGCTGCTTTTAGGTTGCAAGTCTCCAAAACACCACAAGAGGGAGCCAGTCGGCCATGAAATACTGATGGAAAGCCCCCAGGAACAATAAAGTGTTATCTATGAGGTCGTGAGTTAAACAGAAGAACAAAGGGTAGCCTACACCTCCAGCGCGGTTGTGGGTCTCTATGAAGCATATTGCTGAAACTATTCACGTTAAATGACCACAGTGCCCGTTCACCAACGCTTCCTCCAGAGGAAGCACGGGACCCTGTGCGCTCCGCGGGATTGGTCCATCACAACATCGGGTGTCTGCTCTCCGGCTGTCACACAGCTAGCTAGCTGTCGTGGTACAGACGCGACTTGAACCTCAGCTGAAGGAGGAGAATACACCGAACAAATCTGACTTGTTGCCTAAATAACACGTTAAGGTAAGGCTTAATTGTTATATAGTATTTGCTTTGTGTTCTGTAGCGTTGTCTTGGGGCGCACTATGGATGATACTGAGTCGCACTAGCCATCCTTGACTCCTGCCCAACAACATCTGTATTTTGACAGATGAGCCAGCTGCTAGCGTTAGCTGAGCTAAAGTTAGCCTTGTGGGACCTAAGACGACGCTAACACTAATTTCAGCCTGTGAATTAGTGACAACATCGATAAAACATTTTTTTTCTACCCGTGTAAGTATAAGGAAGAGATTACTGCACTAGAAAAGCTAAACCGTTGTTTTTAATGGAGAGTAAACGTGAGAATATCTATAATGAGTCGTGGTCTAATTGTTTGTTTGCGTTAACGATATGCTCAAAGGGAGTTGATGTTATAACTCAAACAAATGTCATTGTCGTTGTGTGAAACTCTTTAAGAAACCAAAGTTCTATTAACATGTCTTTTATTGAAGATACTATAATATGTAGTTTCTTTTAATGTTATTTTTCAACACAGTTTTTCAGTGTTTCTTTAATTTAACTTAAAAGGACTTCAAACCTAGGACTTAAAATGACTGATTAAAATGAATGCCCTATTTTAAAGGACACAGTTCTTTGGTTAAACATATGATGACAAACTTCATATCATACTTGAAATTCACCATGTAATATGTCTGCTGCTGATCAAATGGACTATTCATCTGGTTTTAAAGTTCTGAAAAAAAACGTGTCGGTCTTACCCTACAATGTAGATTGAAACCTATTGGAAAACACATGTCTCAGTTTTAGAAATGTAATGAGAAAAGATCACCCAGAGATGATTAGATGTGTCGATTAATATAGACAGAATAATCCACTAGACTTTGGATTTTTGGAAATATTTCGGTGCACATTTCAAAACAATGAAAGATGTGGGTATATTTGTAGTTTTGTTGACGGCCAATTTCTGAAACTCCGTAACATTTAGCTGTGCTTGTGTGATAACACTGCAGTTAAGTTGGCCCGGGGACGCTCATCCCTTCATTTACAGGAGCTTATCTCTTGCACGGCTCCGCAGATCACTGACAGGGTTGCCCTGTTGATCTTTTAATGAAGCCGGGGATCCTCCTCTGCTCCAGATGGCCCTGTGTTGTACTTGTTTGCCTATGGGGCCATGTCTGTGTTGTTATTAATGCTGTACAAAGCCTGGACCCCCTGCAAGCTCTGATAAGTCCTCTCTCCCCCTCCCCTACTACAGCACAGATAGTGAAGGTCATATGACTTTTGTTAGGATAAAAGGTCCAGAACGGCATCTGGAGCTAGGCATTATCTGTTGTAGTAAGCAGCATCTAAGTGCTTATTCTTCGGCTAACTGCTCTGATCACCAGGGATCACTGAAGTTTTTGTTATCTATAAAGAGGGTCTTTGTCGGAACAATATAGATTCTGGAGGCTTCACTGTTACAGACTACCAAGTTCAGAGGCTTCTTTTTATAGTCGTGAGGAGGGTTTATATATTTTAAATGTTCTGCTGAAGGCATGGATACATTTTAAGCTTGTGTCCAGCCCCCCAACCCACTCATTTTTAAAGTTAGGTGTTCGGTAAACATGACTTGTGAGTGAGTTGCGTCTAAGTTATGTTTCTCAGCTCCAAGCTAAAGGATTTTCATGATTGTTAGCCGGACAGTAGTTTGACATTTAGTAACTCATTTCTTAAATAGTGGCTGTTGACATTCAAACATGTTTAGAAACTCAGCTGGCATCACTTCTCCTTTTGTTGAAGTCTCATGCTACAGCAAATCCTGCTGGACATTAAACCACCAATGACATAATAACCCGCCGTCTGAGGGACCCTAAGGAAGGATTTCCTATCAAAACCATGTTGGGCGGAGAATGGAAATGTAGTGATTCTGTGTTGACAGTTATAAAATAGCATGAGGGAGCAACCATTTCCTTTCACCAATATAGAAACTACACAAAAACCTCTTGAAGGCAAACTGCCCTGAATGAGAGCATACAATTTTTCTGAAATCAAAGTAGGTCAAACTCGGTAAGTTCTCTCTTTTCTGTGGAAATAAAAAAAAACACTGTAGCTGGTGCACTGCCGGTTTCGTCCAGTCTATATTTTTCGCTAGTCCATTGAGGCCAAGTCCACTTATCAGAGCACATATCTTTTCTTTATGGCACTGACACTGTATGTTATAGGTCTAACTTGATTTAAAGATATCGTTTTTTTCTGGTGCTTGAATGTAGGATCGTATAAAATGTATGGTTAAGTCAGGAACTTTCAGAGGTGCACAGGCAGATTTTTTCTGATGAGAACATTAGGTCCCTAATACAGACACAAGCAACACTCCTAACTTGTAGACTTTGTGTTTGTACTATCAGAATAATTGTCTGAAAATGATTTTAATGAAATGTCCTTTTTGCAGCTAAAGACACAGTGCAGTCGGGAAGACAAGAGAGTATGTTCCAGTATGAAACCGTTATGCCTAATATGAGTCTCTTTGTGAATGTGCTGCCATTCTTTCTTCCTTTTTGTGAGTTTGCATTACTATATATAGGCTGGCAGTGGAGGTAGTGAGGCCACCTGGAGTGGGTGTCTCTTCCCACACACGGTCCTCTTTCTGAACTTTGCTGGAGCTCCCATTGTCTTGTTTTCCTCATGGCTTCCCTCTCTTTTCCTGTGTCTGTGAGATGTACTTAGCTCCCACACACTGACAAACCACAATCCTGTAAAAACCATGCTGGAAGCCAAGAGACCTGTCTTTCTCTTTCTATCCGTCCTTTTCCTTCTCTCTCCATCCCTTCCCACAGATAATGAGCAGATAATAAGCTGAGTGGACTTGGAGAGATGGAAATGGCAGAAGAAAGGCTTTGGTTGGATGCTGCATACATCAAATGCTTTGTTGTATAAGTGACATTAAAAGCATTGCTGTTATAGACGCGTCAAATCTGTCCACTTAGAGCTGATGTTTGTGGTACTAGACATGTAATCATGAATTAATTAGCACCTCACAGAATGTGTGGGGGAAAAAAAATCAAAGGTTTCATACGGTTAGAACTGCATCTCCTTATGTTTCACAGCTAGTGGATATTAACTCCAATTATATTTCCCCTCACCCTTTCATTACACCCACAACTTGATCCGTGGTAGCCCTTCAAACACTGTGCTCCAGCTGTGAAAGCGTGAGTTACACATATTCTATAATACTTGGTCTAAGGAAAACTAGCAGCCCTGGTTTTCGTGGATACAGATATACAGATGCCCTCTTTTGTCCACCTGGACCCCCACTTCTCATTTGCTTTCAATTTGTTCTTGCATGGCCACAGGGGAAAGCAGAGGGAAATTCACTGCGGGCGTTGCAACGCTAAAGGTAAATATAGCTAGACGAGCTTTTTGTTAACTGATATTTGTTTTTCACTCTTGCCACTGTTTGTTGAGGATGCCGTGAAAGTTGAATGAAATATTGGTGCTGGTTAAATATTGTCTTGGGCTCCATCCCTCTAACCTAGGTCATGCAGCATGAGCACATTTTGTAAAAAAAATCCCAAATCAAAGTAGAGACCTCATCTCAAAGTTAACGTTTCCTACAGTATGCTCTGTCAGCAGACAAGGTGTGTATCGTAAGCGTCTGCACTCCATTTGAGTATCAGTGACATTGGAGCTGGCTTTGGTTGTGTGCAGCTAAATATGTGGACGTGTGGAGAGCAAATGAGGCCGATTGATTGGACCAGATGCAACCTCTGAAACCATTGGCTATTGTCTGACAATAACATAGCTTTTTAAAGGCTTAAAATGTGCTTGTCAACTGGCTACTTGTGAAACAATCCAGTCAAAGATACACTGGGATTGGAGGGTTCTGTGCATTGAGTCGTGAGTCAAGAGAGAAGGACATAGGTGTTATATCTTTGCTTTGTTATTGTATTTGTATAGTGTGATTATATATTAGTTTTGACAAAAAGTGAGTTGTTTACTTTGTTCAGGGTAGCGATTTAAGATGGACACTGTCCAAATAAAGCAGATGGTACTCATTCTGTCCCTTTTTTGTTTTCTTTTGTCCCAGCACTATTTGCCTTGCCACCTGTTAAAAGTGCTGGAGATGTCCAGAAGGCCAACAGTTGTTCTCCATATGTTTTTATTATTATGTAATTTGCTTATGTGTCACTGATTCCCCCCCAGGCTCCCATCTGATGGAGCAGTGGTTGTCTGTCTTTGCTAAGAAGAGGCACCATGTTCCCTTGTCACGTGACGCCCTGGCCCACCGCTGAGCCCCCGGCCTCCTGCGGTCATGCGCCCCAATCACAGGCCTCAAAACCTCTGCCTGATCTGCTGTGCAGCTGTCCCGGTCCACCTTTGAACACCCACTCCGAAACGCCCTCCCCAGACCCCATGGAGTCCCTCATCGTGGTCACAGAATACGAACCCAGCAGACCGCCCGGAGAAGAGGAGGTAAGATCAAACACACACGATATGTACCAGGGATGTCATTTGGAATGTGGGTTTCTACTTAATGAAGCGTTGACATATGATGATACATGGCCATACATGTTATTTACCACACCCCATTTCAGATGTATCATATATAAGTGATAGAAACAGACAAATGCAACATATTGACCATCATACTGTATAATACTCATATGCTAAAAGGAACATTTTGGGACTCTTCACACGGAGAGAAAACATACACATGTTGAGAGGAAACTGCATTTAAATTAAAAAAAACACCCATACGAACAAATTCCAAACTTCATTGCATCACATCAAAAGGTGTTCATCTGTGGAATAACTGTAATGATGAGCTGAAATACTGTGCAACTTTACCTAAACTAAAACTATTATTTACAAACCAAATCCTGAATGGTTATGAGCAGGACCTGCGAAGTGATGCTGCTTGCTATTGTCGTTGTAAAAGTTGTTTATTTTTTTTACAAATAAATGATTTGTTTAAAACAATGAATCCAATATCATGGATGCCGATGAGCTAAACTTTGATTTTCATGAAGAATGTGCGTTAGAGGGGGTAGGACCAGAACAGTTTTTAAGCTTCTTCTTGCCCCTTTTGAACATGACAGAAACTATTTGACTATTTATTTTTTTGTATACCTTGAACTTTTTTAAAATTTTGATTCTCTTTGTTATAATTATTATTGTTTGTTTTGCTTCTAACATGTTCAATAAATTGACTAATAAAAGAATAATACAATAATGATTTGTATGTATCATATCTCAGGTAGAAGACATGGACAGTTCGGAGACGCCCGAGCCTGCGTCCTCTGTGGCGGCTTCGTTCCGGGCTTCGTTCCGGACCCCGTCCTGTGACCTGCTGTCCCACACGGTGGTCCGGTCGGAGGCTCTGCTGCCCGGGAGCCAAGAGCAGAGGGGGAGGTTAAGCCTGTCGGACAGAAAGCTATCTCTGCAGGAGCGCTCGCATACAGCATCGTCACCCTGCAGCTCACCGGGTCTCAACGGGCGCCATATTTACCCGTCTTTACCCTACTCTCCCATCACTTCGCCTCACTCCTCTCCACGCCTGCCTCGCCGGCCCACAGTGGAGTCCCACAGCGTTTCCATCACAGACCTCCAGGTAGGGTCAAGACTACGGGCTAACACAAATCCAGTGTTATGGATTTTTAACTCTGATATTGCTACTTGAAGACATTTCAAAACCATCAAAGTCAATAGTTTGGTGCAGTGTATTTGTAGGCAGATCCTGAACTTAGAATTGCAAGAGTTTTCTTTAATAAAAGCCAACTGGATTTTCTGTAGAACTTGAATATATTGCAGCAAATAAATCTTGTAGGAAACACACATTTATGATATTTACACACATTTTGTTCAGCAGGTTAATCTCCACATGCTGACACCACTTTGATAATAGTTCAAACGTAAATGCATTGGCCAGAAGTAAGAAGCTAACGTTCTGCTATAAATGATCTTCATGACAGTCAGTCGCATTAGTTCACTTCACAAACACTAAGCTAAAAGCGGACTTGAGCGTGAGGATCTTTAGTCACATCTTGAAAGCCTGTCAAAAAAACACAGACCTTTATTTTAGGCGTAAAAACACATTAAATAAAACAAGACGAGGGAACCATTTAGTGCTAAAATGATAACTAATTTCCTGGTTTTGGACACATTCCTTCACCACTCTAAACTGTTAACAGAAAATATTGTATATTTACAGTTATTTCACTGGTTGACCTTAATATGTTGATGAACAAATCCCAAGAAATTAGCCAAAATGATGCTACAGCCTGCCAGTGTAATAATAATTGGGATTATATAATTTATCCTCCTGCATCATCTGAACAGTGTACTCCCTTAAGGACTACATTGCATAAGGTCCTACTCATGCATGAACAAACTAACTCGTTTTTACACAAAGCCAGGCTTGTGCTCCTATTGAACATCTGTTAGTTCTCAAAACACCAGCTTCATACTCATCTGAAAGTAAGCAGACCTACATGTGCATTTGTTTTAAAAGCAGCAGCACACTGATAAAGAGTGGATGCAAAGGTAAGGTCTTCCTGTCTTGGTAGGTCATAGCTGAGATTCACGTAGATGCAGAAACCCGTGAATGTAAGTAGAATCCCTCTTAGTGCTCTGCAGAGGGGGGACTGTGTTATAGTTAGAACATGATTGCATGTATAAAAGCAGGTTTACACATGCAAGGAATTTGCTTTTGTGTACACCAATACAAAAACACTAAACAGGAATTAAGTTGTAAAAATCAGCAACTATAGAACTCTTTTCAAAACAATTAAGAAAACTCTTATACAATTAAAATTAATCAAATGTATCTAGTTATACAACAAATAAGAATATGGCAAGTTACACTTGTAACAAAATAAAATATGCAGTATATCAGAATTTAAAGTGCAAAGTTTCATTTGGTGAAATTATTTAAAAATATGTTTAAATAATCCTCTTATGGTGTTTAATTATTGTTTTGTAAATGACCTTACTGTGAGTAAAGGGTCATATGATGATGTAAGTCATTGTTATTTCTCTAAATGTATGTATTCACATCAAAAATAATTCTTGGCACTCAATGAACCAACAATGGTTCATTGACCAACAATGACATCAATTACTCTTACAAATAAATATATTTCAATGAAAGGCTGGTTAGTAGGTGTATCTCCAGGTGTTTGTATGACTCATTCTCTGTGGGCTGATTGCAGTTTGTTCTCAGCACTGAATGTGTTTAATCACCCTTTGTCTTAAATCCACACTTTTTATTTGATGACACCTGCCTAGTTTCCCCTGAAGATTACAACATATACTGGAACACTGTGATAGCTGGGTAACACATCCTACCTGTCAAGTCTCAAACATGGATTTGTGGAGATTTTAAAGACAGGGACTGCTCTAAAGCTGACAAGCACAGAACACGTGTCGCCAGATTTAGAAAAATACACTTAGAAATAGTGATGTGCGAAACGCCGCACTTTCGAATTTCTTGAACATAGAAAGGTAAAAAATTAAATGTTATGGAAGGAAAATGTAATGGGGAAAGCAGATTTTCGAAGATTGCTTCTGATATATTTCTCTATATCTAAAATGTGTGATTTCATCTCGTTTTTGTCCTCCTCTCTTCTTTCTCTCTTCAAGGACTGCGTTCAACTCAACCAATACAAGCTGAAAGATGAGATTGGAAAGGTACAACTCAACTGATTGCTCCCTTTCACCGACTCTCCCATTTTCTCTCTCCCTCCCGCCTACTGCATGTCTGTCATGTAGCGCGTATCATCGAGGACACGCGGTAACAGCCTCTGCTCTCCGCTCTCTTCCGGCTGTCCTCATTTCCCAAACTCTGAGTAGACTCCCAGGCCATGTGAGAGTTTGGGCGAGAGGCTGCTGGTATAAATAGCGCTCTCTAAGGGTCGTGCAAGGCTTAGCTCGGTATGTGTGTGTGCACGACTTACATTGTGGGTTTCATGAGACACAATGTGCACGGCTGATGTGAATTTCTGCATGAGGGCAGACATGTTAATGTGTGTGGTTCGGCTGAGACAAATAGAGCCTTTCAAGACGGTTGTTATCAGATCGTCTCTGGGACTCTGCCTCTCCGTTCTGCCCCCGCCTCTCTTATCTCTTGTTTGGTTTTTGGGCATGAATGTATGCACACAGGCTGCTAATTGGGCCTAGTTTTTATCCTGTATTTCCTGTGTGTGTGGGCAGAAGAGCTTGATAGCATAAACCAGATCCAGGTTCCTTAATTAGCCTGAAATCAAAAATGAAAGAGAGAGGGAGAGATGATTTGAATTTCTCTGTTCTCACTCTGAAGCAGCTGGTACTCTTTCAGTGTACACTGTCGACCCACACAGGGCCGTCCTTCCCTACAGGCTGATCATGCAGACTGCGTGGGGCCTCACCTTGCGGAGGGGGCCTCACCTTGCGGATGGGGCCTCACCTTGCGGAGGGGGCCTCACCTTGCGGAGGGGGCCTCAACTGAGCCGAAAATGCGGCGTACCTATGCGCTTATGCGGCGCAATTAGTGTCGCATAAGTTCGCGAAACAGGGCCTCATCGTATCACTTTGCATGGGGCCTCTTGTTGGCCGGGGACGGCCCTGGACCCACACTTCCCCCGTTTGTATATATCAGGGGTCGGCCACCATTGGCACGCGGCACCGTAACCAGTGGCACACTAGGAATAAGTGGAATAAGTGTGCAAAATATTTAAATCTTATTTTCGGATCCTGAACGAGAACGCCGCCAGAGCGCGTTTCCCCGTTACCTGCAGAAGGAAGCCATGCACGCAACGCAGCCCCGCTCTCTTTAACTCCAGGTGACTTTCTGCCGCTTTCCTCCGTGGTGCAGTGCTGATCGTTTCACCACGGAGGAAAGCACTTCACAAATTGCAGTACCCATAAGGAGCTGTACAAATGCCACAGTCTTTGCATGGCTGTGTCTTTAGTTGAAAGCCCAGTGGCGATCTGCTCATCTCACATCGAAATAACATGCTACACATGTGTGGCCATGTGTGCTCTGGAGAATCACAGAACAGACGATCGTCCTTGTTATTATGCCGTTCAACCAATTATTTAAATGTGTTTGTTAAATTTGGCATCATGTAAGTTGCGCAGGTCCACACACTGCTTCCCCGCAGCGAGGCTCCCCCCGCCCTCCCGTTGATAATTCACGATCGTCGGCACGCTGATAAAATATATATTTTTTAATGGGACTTCATATCAAAAAGGTTGCCGACCCCTGGTATATATGTGTGTGTATTGTGTGTATCTATATGTATTAAGATTGCTTTGCACTTAGTGTGATGTGTCTGTATTTCACATTAAAAATGGCAGCTGCTCAGCCTCATTCTCACATTATTTGTTCCTTTTTTTTAAACGTATTCCTGTTCCAGGGCTCCTATGGTGTTGTAAAGCTGGCCTACAATGAGGATGACAACACATACTATGTGAGTCCTTCACACACACACACACACACACACACACACACACACACACACACACAGATGTTATTTCTTCCCCATCTATTAACATTCTCTCCATTTCTCTCATTCCTAATCACTTGTCACACAGACAGAGATATAGCTCATAATGATCAAATCCCCTCGTCACATTAACTGGTGTCATTTCATGTGAGTCCTCCACGTGTGAACATGTTAATTGTGCCTGGCTGCGTGCTGCAATAACAGATTTTCTGTCTGCTGTTCATGTGTATTGCTGCAGTTCTCATTAAGATGCATGATGTTGACAGGCAATGACATGAGGATTATTTTAATATTCCTCCCAAGTGACAAAGCCCACAAGTGATTATATCATTGCCATAGTAACTGAGGGGGGTCGAGGCTTATAACCCCGGAACACGGAAATGATCTGCCGAACAATGTAGCTGTCACACAATAGATGTGTATAAGCAACCTTTTAATGTGTGCCTATTTTCTAACTTGTCCAATTTAATAGTTTTCAAAAGGAAAAACTGAGAAATGCTGTGTTATTTAGCCACTTAACTCTTTTGAATTAGAAATGTAGGAGTCCTGTCAGAAACTGAGCAAAATGCATAGTTTCTTTAAGCCTGAAATGTGTTTGCCTTGCATGTGTTGCGTATGTCCTTTAATTGTTTACTGATATGTTCTATGAGACAAAATGTTGCTTGTGCTGAAGTAAGCTAATGACACCTAGAAGTCCATCATTTTGAATGATATACTATTTTTAAGTACATACATATTGCCTCAAGTATATTGTATGAATTAAAGCTTATGGTATGATGTCAAGCTTAAAAACACAGTTTTTCGGTAGATTTACATTTCAGAAGTATTTCTTAAAGAAGGATTAATGAGGCAGGTTTGCATTTCACTCGTTTATCACCTTGATGCTTCTCAGCTTAGCTTTTAAGCCGATGATGCTTTCAAGTGTTAGCACTCCCGAAACGAACACAAAGGATGTTCAAGGTGAGGAGAGAAACGTAGAGGCGCTGCTGAGATATGTAGGTGTGTGAGTGGGTGCTCTGTCAGATGTCTTACTCTGTCTCTTTGTCTGCCTTTCTGTTCAAATTTGCTTTGAATCTCCTGCCCACTTGGCTCTCCCACCCCCCTCTGACTCTACTCTTATCCTCCACTCCATCTCCCTCCCGTAGGCGATGAAGGTGTTGTCCAAGAAGAGGCTGATGAGGCAGGCAGGTTTCCCACGTAAGTCCGGAGCCAGGGGCAGATGGTTTAAACAGCAGAGAGCACAGTCTCTGTTAATGCTTCAGTGGTACATGAACACAGCGCGTTAATACTTAAACCCTGTCTGTCCTCCTGTCCTGTCTCTCTCTCCTCTGTCAGGGAGACCTCCGCCTCGTGGAGCCAAAGCAGACCCTGAAGGCCCCCCTCAGCTCAAAGGACCCCTGGAGCGGGTCTATCAAGAGATTGCCATCCTGAAAAAGCTAGACCATTCCAATGTGGTGAAGCTAGTAGAGGTAGGGGCTGTTAAAACATTCCTGAATTGTGTATCACAATATCCAACTTGTTCTAATCCATAGTGGCTTCATTTCAGGAAGACGGTTATATACGTATAAGTATTATAAAGGTTACAAATAATTCAAGCGTGATATTTAAGTGACAAAACAATTAGAGCTACTCAAGTTCAAACTGTATGCAGTAAAACAGTCTTTTAAATTAAGCCTTTCTCTGTGAAGCACAACAAAGGTATGTTGCCAACTCTCTAGTCGAACAATTTGGAGAGATGCCTCAGCAGAGTGTCACAGAAAGAAGGAAAAATAGGGATCAAAACAACAATCAGTTTTTTTAGATTTAATTTAAGCATACATGTATCTGAGAGCATCACGTACAACAAAACTGTATGTGCTAGCATACGGAAAAATGATCCATTTGTGTGTGTATGTGTGTGTTTACGCTTATTTCCATGTCTCTGTCCTTTGTGGCCAGGTTTTGGATGACCCCAGCGAGGACCATCTGTACATGGGTATGTTGTGGCCAGAGAGTTAGCCTTCAGAGCAACACACACACACACACACACACACATACACACACACACACACACACACACACACACACACACACACACACACACACACACACACCCACACCACCACACAGCCACCACACACCACACACACACAGCACAGCCACACAACACCACACACACAGCCACAACACACCACACTACAGCTGTATTTGAAACCACTTAAAAAATATTTTGGCCAATTTTTGTTATGTCCTTTGAAAATCTTCATCAGCTAACCTCCCATCTGTGTCTGTCAGGGCAGTGCTTTGAGCCTGGTCAAGCAAGGGTAAGCCTAAGGCTCTTTTATGAAAATGATTGTTGATCACTGGACTTGAGCTGATCTCATTAGTTATGATTGCTAATTGTGTGTTTCGTTTATCGTATCTCAGGGCCTGCCCATGGAGGGCCCACAGAATAAGCCTTTTCAGCGAAGACCCCAAGTCCAGCGCTTCTAGCTTCCAAGATCTGCCCGAATATTAGAAATCCCCGAGTAATCGTGAGTCTTTCCAAAACAGTTCATTATTTTAGTTCAATCTGTGACTGCATGGTAGAAAGCAATAATAATGGGGGGGGGGACGGGTGATAGGGCTGTGCATCCCTTTCAGAGTTGTTATGCATCCAGAAACACTTTAATCAATTTCTGCTAACAGCTGCTGTTTAATAATTGTGCCTTCTCCAGAGTGCTTGCTTATTGTATTGAGCAGTTGAAAATAATGTATCAAAAGGAAACTCAGATACTTTTTAAATTTGACCAAACCTTTATTCTGAAAAAATGTGCTGAATCTTAACACCTTAACCTTCTGTGAACAGAAAAAAGAAAAATACTGAGATGATTCAGCAAAGCAATTGTAGGTTGCAAAAGTAGTCCTAATACACGAATAATATCTCCAAAATGAGCTTTTTGATATCTAGACCTGCGTGAATGCTGACCACTTCTTCCACGCCACTTTACACAAAATCCTTTGCCTGTGCTTGTTCTTTGACCTCAAGCACCCACAAGGCTCCATTTTCACCGCAGCTCAGTGGGCTCTAATTATTCAGCAAAGCAAGCAGAAAGCTTTTGCCACATGTTTCGTCCTAGGAAGACCTAACACTGAAGAGGAGGAGAATTGCAAAGGCTCTGCAGCAAGGGACACTGAAAACTAAATTATTTCTTATTAAATGGAAACAAAACTGAACAAGGCTAAGTGGTTAGGTTGATAAATACTCTGTATTCTCTTTTATTTGCCCGAGTATGGGGTAATCCCCAACTTCCTGACTAAGTGCACTTCCCAAGAGATCTTCTCCACCAGAGCCAGGGGTTATCATTTTAGCACCACAAGCCAACAACTGAAATGTGTTTACAATAACAAATATAAGAAAAGTATGTTCTCTCCTTACATTTTTGACAACTTTTTTTTTTGTTAATTTCTTTATTATTAGTCTTTTTAACATGCAAAAACAAACAGAAAGATACCGGATTTACGTAAGCTATTCCCCTCTGCGCGTCCATGGATTCGGTACACACATAAACATCACAGCCGCTAAAAATAATGATATTATACAAACAAAAACTAAGACCAGAGCCTGGATCAAGCATATCATACCACCACATTTATATAATAGAATACACCTCTATTAATATAGAATTGATTTCAATTAAGAAAAAACGGAATTACAAGGCAAATAAATGTTGAGAAGAGCTGAATTGCTCCATACCCAATTCCTTGCAAATATGATAAAAAGATGAATAGTCTTTAGCATGCCGGAGCCAGGATTCCCTCAAAATGGGATCTTTGTTGCTGTTATAATGTGTCCTGTAATGTTCTTACTTGTCAAACAGTACATTACCCAGAGGGGATCATCCACAGAGACGTGAAACCCCTCCCACCTGTTGGTGGACGAGAAGACGACAACATCAAGATCGCAGACTTTGAGTCAGTAACACAGTTTGAAGGGTGGCTGATAGCTCTGGCTGATACCCAGCAACCCCTAGTGTGGAACAGCCCGCCTTCCTCGCCCGAAGCCCGCTCTCTGAGACCAGGAAAGAACTTCTCTGGAAAGGGGGAGGAACATTCTGACTAACTAGTGCCCTCTGGGATGATTTTGAAGAAATGCAAACTCCCTGTTTTTTTTGTTGGTCCATTTTCGTTAAGTTTCATTAAGTGTTTGTATTCAACTATCTTACCACTGAGGAAACTAATTTCTTACATAACATTTTGGTATCATGTTTTTTACATCTAGCTTTGGATGTTGGGGCCATGGGAGTGACGCTTTAACTGCTTCATCTAGGAGTGGTGAGTGTGTGCTTTTGTCAAAGGCTTTTGGGCTGGTTGTTTTAAAAGAGGTTAATCAGCTGATCCTTCTTTCATTCACAAGTGCCCTTTTATGGACGAGCGCATGTGAGTCTTCCAATCAGAAAATAAAAGAACTCAAACCTGTGGGAGTTACCTGAAAAGTGGGTGAAAGTTTAGATATCATTCTAAAGAATTAACATGAAAATAAAGGTTATTATAATATAATTTTTTTTTTTTACAAGATGCTTCGAAAGCTCAACATAAAACTTTATTTTGGGTGATGTTTAAGTAGGAACAAGGAGTGTAAAGGATATACAGTTCCTTGGCCTGGAAAAAAAAACAGGGGAACCGTCGGTTTATTTTGACTAAAATCATATTTTTGTGAATTAAAAGACTTACAATTAATCAAAAAACCAGAGGTTCCCTGTTCTTTACCAGCCAGGAATGATATATTCTTTACACATCCCTTTGTATCCTACTTTAATACCATCACAAAATAAAGTTTTTATGTTGGCTTCGAAACATCTTTGTTAAAAAAAAAAATTAATTATAATAACCTTTATTTCATGTTAAATTTTATTTAGCAATGAACTCTTAAAACTTTTCCCCAACTTTCCAGGTAACTCCACAGGTTGAGTCTTTATTTTCTGATCTGAAGACTCCACGTGCGCTCGTCCATAAAAGGGCACTGTGAAATGAAAGAAGGATCACTGATTAACTCTTAAACCACACAAGCCCAAAAAAAGCCATTTTGATCCAAAGCACACACTCACCACTTCATAGATGAAGGCAGTAAAGCGTCATCCCCATGGCCCAAACATCCAAAGCCTAAATGTAAAAAAACATGATACCAAATGTTATGTTAAGAAAATAGTTTCCTCAGTGTAAGAATAGTTGAAAAAATACAACATTAATGAAAACTTAACGAAATGACCAACAAAAAAAACAGGATGTTTTGCATTTTCTTCAAATCATCCCCCGGGGGCCACTAAGTAGTCAAATGTCCTTCCATTTGCCAGAGAAAGTTCTTTCCTGGTCTCACAGAGAGCGCTTCGGGGGCGAGGAAGGCGGGCGTTTCCCCACGGTGCCTGGTCAGGCAGAGCATCAGCACCAAAGCTGGTTACTGACTCCAAAAGTCTGCGATCTTTGGTGTGTCCGTCTTCTCCCCCACCCAACAGACGTTGGAGGGTTTCACGTAATCTGTGGATGATCCTCTGGTAATGACTGTTGGAAAGGAACATTAAAGCAGACACCATTTAAACAGCAACAGATCGCCATTTGAGAATCCTGCTCCGGGCAATGCTCAAGACTATTCATCTTTTTATCATATTGCAAGGAATTGGGTATGGTGAGCAATGGGGTCAGTCTTTCTCAACACTTTTGCTTGTAATTCCAGTTTTTCTTATTGAAATCAATTCTATTTAATAAGGTATTCTATATATAAATGTGCTGGTATGTATATGTTTGATCCAGGCTCTGGTCTTTAGTTTGTTTTGTATTAATATCATATTTACGGCTGTTGAATTTGTTTATGTGTTGACCGGATCCATGGACAGCAAGAGGGAAATTAGCTAATTCGCTAAAATCCGGTATCTTTTTCTGTTGTGTTTTGCATGTTTAAAAAAGACCTAATAATAAGAGATAATTAACAAAAAAAGTGTCAAAAATGTAAAGGAGAGAACAGTAAGTCTTTTATATTTGTTAACTTGTAACACATCAGTTTTGTTGGCTTGTGGTGTAAAATGAAAAATGGCTTGTGGAGAAATTCTGGAAAGTGCACTTAGTCAGGAAAGTTGGATTCCATATGGCAAAATTAAAAAGAAAGAAAAATTAATGTATTATCAACCTAACCACTTAGCCTTGTTCAGTTTTGTTTCATAATAAATAGAAAATAAATTTTAGTTCGTGTCCCTGCTGGCAGAGCCTTGCACTCCTCCTCTCAGTGTTAGTCTCCTAGACGAACACATTGGGGCAAAAGCTTTTCTTTGCTGTGGCTGAAATACATTAAGAGCCCACCTGAGCTGCGGTGAAATGGCCCTTGTGGGTGGCCCTTAGTCAAGAACAGCACAGCAAAGGATTGTGAAAGTGGCCGTGGAAGAAGTGCAGCATGTCACGCAGGGTCTAAGATACAAAAAGGCTCATTTTGGGATATTAATCGTGTATTAGGGCTAACTTTTGGCAAACATAAATTGCTGTAATCATCAGTATTTTTTCTTTTTTTTCTTT